CCCTGTGGGGGGGGGGGGGTCTATTTAAAAACAAGTTGCATGAATCTCTGTGAACGTTCGTTCTGTGTGAATACAGGCAAAAAAAAGAAAGGAATATTCTGTGTAGACGATCTTTTCAGGTCTAATGTAATACAGCATTGTGGCCACTAGATGGAGCGGACAAGATACATATTCTCTATGCTCCACAGCGCCATCTGGTGGCCATAATGCTGTATTACATTAAAGGGAATTTTCCAAGAATGTTCGTTTTGGCCTCTATTCGCCCAGAATGAACGTTCACAGATATTCGCAGGGCGAACGCTTCAGCTAAATGTTTATTAATAGGCCCCTAAAATGTAAGTTTATGCGATGCTACAGCCGGCTGTCACTAGAGGGAGCAGTCAGGAACTGCAGACATGGCACAGGTGTGGCTGAAGACATGTTGCAGGAGACAGTCAGAAATTGGGGACATGTTACATGAGACTGCCAGAGATCACCGTCATTACAAATCCTTTACAAACTAAAACACTCCCACTACTGCCTGCTAGGGCCCGAGGGCCCCATTGCAAAGTACCAAAGGGCAGAGGTTGTCCACCAGGGTGCTGAGGCCTTCATCTACTATGTATTCAGGTTGATGCCAGAGATGGTCACCTGCCACTTCCATTCCCTGTGTGCTGTGGCCGGCCGCCTAAGAACAAGTATCCATTTACAGAGCTCTGACTTCACTGGCTGCATGCTTGTCCTGGGGCTCGGTCTGATAGCTACAGCCAGCCAGGCAGCATTTTCACAAACAGATCAGATGGCAGCCGATATACGTTTCTCAGCACAGGCTTCCTTCAGAGGGGCCCCTGCCACCACCGGGACCTTCATAGTGATGTCACAGTGTACTACCTAGGAGACACGGGGCCACAAGATGGCGCTCTCCATCATGCACAAGTGACAGGTACACTTTGACAGCTTATGTAATTCCATGAAGACAACAGCAGAAATGTGTATTGAATCAATGGGACCGGGATGGGGAGAGCTACTGGGACAAATGAATGAACGGGGTCCTTGCAGCGCCGGCAGTTGTGTCGCTGCCGACATATACAAGCTCCGCCCCCACTGACCCGCCCATGTCTACTTAGCCTGACGGGGTGTTCTGACGAGCTCCTGCAGGCAAAGAGGAAACTGCAGTCATTAATACTTCACTCTTCTGGCTGCAGTAACCGAAATATGATTGGCCGGTATAGGTCTCCGCCCCTTGCCCACCATTATTAGACATCTTAAAGTGAACCTAAAGCTTAAAAAAAAAGTGTATCTAAAGCCAAAATCTGCTTTTCTTTTTTTTACCCCCCATTTTGTACAGTGTTAGGAATGATTAAACCCCATTTAACCATTTGTGTCCCACTGATGATTCCCCTTCATTTGCTTTCCTGCAGCCATAACAGGAAGTGAGAGGAAATCTTCTCTTTGTTGAGTGTCCAGTGATGGGGGGGAGGTTCTATCCCGCTCAAGGCAAATAGGCTCAAGTGTCCCCCCCCCCCAACGTGTGCAGGTCCTGCCCTTTTGCGACCCCCACGCCTTGGTGGCATCCTCTCCTGCCTACCCCTGGGTCTGGCCCACAGTGTCCCCATTGGAGAAATTCCTCTAGATTCCCGATTTGGGTTCAACTCAACATTTCCCCTCATTTTCAGCCTCGGGGACAAATAGAGAGGGTGACTCGCCACCATCCGGGGGGCGTGGTGATGGGTTAGACACCCATCACCACTCTATACAGAACTCAAACAGAAAACAAAAAATAGCTTTCATTTTATTTCAACCAGT